TCGAATCCGTCTCTGCTCGCGCTCGCTCGACCTGCTCTCTCTCCGCGCTCAACACCAGCTGTGCGCTCAGCTGTTTCTCCGCTCGCTCGACTCTCTGCGCTCGCAACTTCAGCAATGTATGTAAATGAACCATACCATCAGCCAATCACACCCAGCTTCTTTTCATCCAATGAAAGCATTCCTTCCTTCTTCTTCTTTTCTATCATGGCGGATCGCAAGCAACTTTAAGGTGCATACCGCCACCTACTGTTCATGAGTGTGTAGCAACATTGTTTTACAGCTATTAAATTCTATTTTTTAATTTTGCATTCTGAAGATAACTAAATAATGCTTTCCTTAATCTATAAACATCCTTTATATTTCCTTTATTTCCCAATAATCCTTTAAGACTCCATTCTTGGCCTGTCATTTCAACTACTCTTCTCAATTTTTCCCTTTCAGGTTCATATGTTTTACAGTTCATTAATATGTAAGCATTCGTTCCAAATACTACATCCGGTTAGATGAAAAAAAATACATAAATAAATAAAAACACAATCAGGAAAATCAAACAACTCTTACAGTTATTTTGTCAACATTCCTAAGATAGTACTATAAAATATCTTGAATTATCTCAAATAAACTTCAGTAAAACAGTTATTAGATCATTGCCTCATCCATCTCTTTTACCTGCTATTGACATGGATTTAAATTTGATGTTTTAAAAGAAAAATAAGGAGGATATTTCAGGTTCCAGTATGGTTCAACAATATATAGATAAAAAATATTATGGATATGTTAAATTTTTTATGGATGCTTCAAAATATTCCAATATTAGGAATGGTGTTTTGTTTTAGTTTCATAATTTATTTTTAAATCGGGTAAAAGAATCAGTGATGGAATTCAGCCTACAAAGGAGAAATGTTTTGGATCATATTGGCCTTACAATGGATTGAAGAAATCGTTCCATTAAGAAGTTTAGTTTGCTCTGATTTTAGATCAGCGACTGTTATATTAATTTAAACGCAATTATTCAGACAGCAGACCTGATCTGAAATTTAACAATTATTATTTAGAAGACCTTTTACAGATGGACTCTAAATAAGAGGGTTATTCTTTATTATATATATTAAAAAGAATAATTTGATAAACAGGATTTTTCAGTTGGTGGCGGTAATTGTTGTTTGCCAACCTCCATAAAAAACAACAAAAAGAAGAAACACCCGCCACAAAAGCTAAGAGTAAGGCCAATATGATCCAAAACATTATCTATATACTGTTGAACCATACTTGAACCTGAAATATCCTCCTTATTTTTCTTTTAAAACAGCAAATTTAAATCCATGTCAATAGCAGGTAAAAGAGATGGATGAGGCAATGATCTAATAACTGTTTTACTGAAGTTTATTTGAAATAATTCAAGATATTTTATAGTACTATCTTAGGAATGTTGACAAAATAACTGTAAGAGTAGTTTGATTTTCCTGATTGTGTTTTTATTTATTTATTTATTTTTTTTTCATCTAACCGGATGTAGTATTTGGAACGAATGCTTACATATTAATGAACTGTAAAACATATGAACCTGAAAGGGAAAAATTGAGAAGAGTAGTTGAAATGACAGGCCAAGAATGGAGTCTTAAAGGATTATTGGGAAATAAAGGAAATATAAAGGATGTTTATAGATTAAGGAAAGCATTATTTAGTTATCTTCAGAATGCAAAATTAAAAAATAGAATTTAATAGATGTAAAACAATGTTGCTACACACTCATGAACAGTAGGTGGCGGTATGCACCTTGAAGTTGCTTGCGAACCGCCATGATAGAAAAGAAGAAGAAGGAAGGAATGCTTTCATTGGATGAAAAGAAGCTGAGTGTGATTGGCTGATGGTATGGTTCATTTACATACATTGCTGAAGTTGCGAGCGCAGAGAGTCGAGCGAGCGGAGAAACAGCCGAGCGCACAGCTGGTGTTGAGCGCGGAGAGAGAGCAGGAGAGCAAGCGCGAGCAGAGACGGATTCGAGCACGCGCAGAGATGAAACTGAGCGCGAGAACAGTGTGTTGAGAGGGTTTTTCAGAGTTGAGCGCGCGCCAGACCGGTTTTGCGCGTGCGCGTGTTGTCTCACTGCGCGCTCGGATTGGTTCCTGCGCGCTCAAACCGATGGCACAAATATCTCTCCATAGGGAAAATCCTGTAGGATTTCATTCAGCAGAATTTCCACAAAACCAGAGGTGGTGCTTTGGATGTTTGTTGATTAAAGCTCTGCTTCAGTGAACATGATGTTTGGATAAGAAAGCAGCTACATCTGAAGCATGTCCAGACCATAAACAGAACTTTACTCCTGAACATTGATCACAAGCAGGAATCCCAGAAAGACACAAATTCTGTTGGATCTTCACAAGAAAAGAACAACAAATAGGAAGAGGGGCTCCAACATCCTCCAGAAAAGGAAACATTTTATTTAGCAAAGAAAATAATGAGCTCAGGGACGTATGCTTTAGACAAGATAATTATTACTGAAAGAAAAAAAAAAACAATATTCCACTTTTCAGTCTAATGTACCGGTAAGTCGCTTGCTGAAAAAACAACAATACAGATAAAGCCAACTGCTTCTTATTCATCCCTTTAAACAGACCAGCTAATGTTGATAAAATGTCATATTCATTAAGCGTCCATGGAACATGTCGAGGGATTACCTGCATAAATTATGTATGCTTAGCGAGAGAAAGAGGCCAGCGACTGAAACGACCAACGACTGAAACTAAGCAGGATCACTTTAAAGCCTTGGCGATGTGACGTTAAGTCAGATAATGAATTCAATTTCATACTTTAAAATCATCAATGCTTAAACACATCACTTCCATGCTATACTCTCTGTTACGTCTCCTGTTCATGCATATGTAAATATTTTAAATGCCTTTCATTTTTGATTATTGTAATTAATACCAATTTTTTTTACATTAAAAAGTCAGTGTTCCCTGTACGTCAATGAACTCATTAATAATTAACACATTCATTAAAAAAAAGTCATTTCTTTTTTACATTATAAACTTCCTTAAATCTATATTTTATTTCATGAATATGATTGAAGATAAACCAGTTAATATCTAGGAGAAATGGTTTAACCCAATGTGGATGAAGTGGTTTCTATTAAACGACTCTTGCTGCCTGTTCCGGCGATACCATCTGTCGTTATGTCAGATGAACCCTCAGTGAACCACATGACCATACAACTTGTGCTAACAGTTTTTTTTGTTGTTTTTTTTTTTTAAAGGAAAAAAAAAAAAATCACAGCATTTTTTTTTATTTTTTATATGCACCGCATTTAAAACTGTTTCATAGACTATGCATATTGTTTTATGCACAACATGCCTTTGCAGACCTTTTCAGCTCTGGCGGCTGGCTGACATGTATAATACACATGAACATTCCGCTTTTTCATGGCAGTTATGACTCTTGCGACAACATACATAGTGCTATTTATGATTTTGTTGACATCTATTAAGTCATGGGTGAGTAATATTGTGCACCTAGAGGCAGTTTGTGGAAAAATGGTGCATATGAATCAAAGAAAAGACTGCAGCAAACCTTTCCCAAGGACATCAGGAGCTTATTCAGGATTGCAGCTGTAATTTCTGTGTTGCATTTATCTTTAGATATATAATGCTCTCATTTTAAGCACTTATTTAAAAAAAGGAATTCAATTGCGCTGAACAATTCTGATTATTACAGCCTGAAAATTAGCTGTAGCAGAGAAACTCATTTTGAAAGAAGTAATTATGTCAGAAATTAGAGTGCACAACATCAGCGTTCAGCTCATAAATTGGTGCGAATGTTATATTATAATAAAGAAAGAAAAGAGTCAGGGACACGGTTATTTCTTCTAATCAATACGGTTGTCACAGCTGCAGTAATAACACCATAATGACATACGATGCTGTGCAGTCTTTGCATAAATATATTTTCAAAAAAAACATCCCCATTCAAACTGCTTGAACACATTTTTACTGAAAACAATATTGAACTAATAGGAAAACAGCAGGCACGTTAAAAGCAACAAAGCACAGTACCAGCCCCATCGGCCTTCACATGAACCATGGGTGTTACATAAGAGACTGAGAAGATGTGTTTCGGATCAGCAGCTCCCTCCCATGAGTCATCTCTGATTGCTTTATTTCTGAATGTTGATTTTTTTTTTTACTCTCTCACCCAAAATGAAAAATAATTGAAGACAATAAAAAATAAATATTCAATATGTCAGGGTTTTAAAAACCAACCCCCACATTTTCTCCCAGGCACTGTGGCCATCAGTGACAAGGACATGTGGCACATTTCACAAGCTTGGGATGCGTGGACTGTGCACGTGAATGACTGGATAAGACACGTCAGGAAGCTGTGTGGATGGGGAACGATAACCAAGCATGTAAAGTAAACTGGGTCTTTAGTAAAAAACATGAAATCTCTCTGTGAGAGAAAATTAGAAACAACACCGGTAGACAATCCTTGCCTAGTAAACATAAATGTTTTAGGAATTAAATGTTCCAAACTAATATTTCATATATAAAACAAACAAACAGTATTTGCCCTTATAGCATAAAATGATGAAAATGATCTAATGACTTTTCAAGGTTGATATCTAAAGTTAGATATCTTCTAAACCTCATGAGACTGTAAAAGTCAATCTTGAATCAACTTAATCGGAGGAATATGACCAGAGGCAACACTATCTCTCTATTTAACCTAATTGTAAAAAAGGAAATTGTTTTGACTCATTAGAACAGTGACTGGATTCACACAGTGCAAGAATGAGATCCCAGCTGCTGCTTTGTGGCAAAGGAACCTGAATGACCCCAAGGGTAACGTAAGAATTCAATCCGACCGGCTTAAAAGTCAAGGTGAAAATAGCATCAATCAATTCACGAGAGACGGTCCAAGATGACTTTTTATGCAGTGTGTATCATGTGGGACCACAGAGAAAAAAAAAGCGTGCCATCTGTGTGTTTGGGGCTCTGACATACCTGATGCGTGACCATGAGGGAGCAGGAGGAAGAGGAGGAGAAGTGCAGAGGCAGCCAGTCTGTGGGCTACAGAGGAGGAGGCGGCACCAGAAGAGGAGGACGGGGCTCTCGTCGGAAACGCTACCATTCCATCGCACATCTTTTCCTCCGACAACCAGCGAGAGTCCTCTACGGCTTAACCTGTCCGGGCAACATTTACAGGAAGGGACATGGGGGAGGGGGAGGAAGAGCGTGGATTATCATCATTATTTAGCCAGGATTATGTAACAAGAAGCAACACAGGCAAAGAGAGGGGAATCGGGAGAGACAGCTAAACAGTGTGTGTCAGAGACAACTGCATGCCTGGAGTTTGATATTTATTTCCCAATAACTTTAAGGATAGGTGCATTCCTCACCTATGAGTTTTATAATTACACTACACAAGCCACAGCACAATCGAACTGAGTGTTCTTCTCATTTTGCCTCAATCCCTAATCTTTGCTTTGGCACAGAATCTATCTGCATAAGCCCTTAGGTACACTATGTCGTATATGACGCAACAACACAGATCAGTGCAGCTAATGAGGTGCCAAAAGGCAGCTCGAGGGGACGGGCAATATTAGAATGTATATTACACCCAACTTTGGCAAGAATATTCTGGCAGAGACAGGAAAAATAAAAAGTACAAAATGTTCAGTAGACTACATTTGATTGTAACCCTGCCAAGAGGACTCAGTTCACAATCTTTTATGTTTTTTTTTTCTTTTCAACTTTAAACTAAATTTTCAAAAGATTTTAAATGTAATGTTAAAACATTTTAGCTCTGTCAGCTCCTTAATCTATGCTGCAGGCTTATGGTGCTGAAGAGTTTAATGAATAGAAGCAACATTTAAGAGAACAGCAGGGAGTGCTGGCTGCTTTATTATTCCTGTTATAATCTTTTACAGCCGTTATAAACCAGTGGTATCGGTCTAAACAGTTTCACTTTTGTTTCTTTCGATGATCACTTTAGACCATGGCCATGTTGTTTTGTGGCTTATCTGCAGGCTCTAAAGTTTTTCAAGTTGAACTGGATTCGTTTAAAAATCACATAGTATATAAAAATTAAAAACCTGAGAAAAAAAAAAAATTCAACTGTAAAAATTCTGAACGGACAATTTCTGTCAAGAAGGAAGTGAAATTTCTGGAACTGCGATTCCCCTACATTCTCTTCTCCCGCAATTGAAAGTAATTGTGGTCATAAAACCAACCAACTATAACAAAAAGGGAAGAAACTCATTCCAAATCTAGTTCAATAAATGACAAGAGAAAAAAAAAAGATATATAAAGAGTTACTGTGACTCTCCAAATGGTGTGTTCACACCAGAGGCGATTCCAGCTAATTGTCCATGTAATTTGCATGCTGTTGCTTTCTTGATATTTTGCCAGTGAGGGAAAAACACTTCACCTCATCAAGAAATAGAAGGAGCTTCAATCCGTAGTTTGCAGGTTCCAACTAAACATGGCGGACCTGTATTTCACCAAGCTTTATTTATTCATCATGGAAAGGAAAACCTAACCTACAAAGAGTATTCCTTACTTTATCATGTCAATTTAAACTTTATTATTTTCAATTTTGAAAAAAGAAAACAACTAAAAAAAGAAAAAAAACAAAACAACTTTGCTTGCGATACAAAAAACAATCAAAAAAACATGTTCAGAAGATCCTGCATGCTTCCAGGAAAAGTTCACTCAAGAGAGGGCAGAGAGCTCATTACCATTCTGAAAGGCTAAAGTATTAAGGCCAACATTAATGGCATGTTTTTACTGTAGGCTGATTCCCATAGGTCATAACACCTGCTAATGCCTGGCTTTGGAGTGCAAGTGTGAAGTGGTGAACTGTCAGTCAGTTGTACTTCAAAGAATTCAGCAGTAACAGATACCAAACATATCCTGATCACTTTTACATTGAGGTGAACAAGTCATCCAGGTGCAAAGGCTCCTTTTCACTCAAGTTGCTGAGCTTCAGGCGGGAGGAGTGATCAAAGCTCTCAGATTCTCCACTGAGAAGCCTATTTGGATGGGTCACATGGAGGCTGTAAAAATGACAACAACAACTGGTGGAAGATCCAGTCAGCTGGCAGCCAACAGCTGTGCAAGTTGAACATGGTAATAAAGTAAAAAGTAACAAACTAGCCTCCTTTAATGCAAGCAGGTACTACTTTAAGTTATTATGTGATCCAACCTAAACGGACTACAACACAAAGCAGAGTTTGGTTATATAAATGTATTACAGCATAAACTCCACGTTCTGCAGCTTTTTACCAATTTATTTTCACTATCATCCCTCTTGATCTCATTGGTCAAGCAAAAGCCTGAGTCTTTAGTGAAAACTTTAGATCCAAAATACAGCCGCTGTCAATAAGAGTTCCTTTGATTTGTGTCAAATATTGCGATCTCATTAAACAATGTTGGTATGGATTCAAAATCTGGCTGCTTGGGTCTTAAATGTAAAAATTATCTGTAGAGAAACAATTATGCAATTGTCTTACTTTTATACACTTTTAAACCTTCAGCCAGTAGTTGGCAGCAGAAGAACCAAGAGCCTACAATTCATCTGCTCACCACTAGTCACAGGAGAGCAACAACATCTTAGGTTTTTCAAAGCTACATTATTAGAAAAGTAGCAAAAAATTTGTTGTTAATGTATTGTGATGAATTTTATCATGACAAGTATAGCAATGCCAAAGTCTTGCCAAATCACACCCCTGGTTTTATTTTCTCGTCATATTTTCTTGAGTTTCTAAAGCATTTTAAGAGAAAGTTAGAGTATTTACTGTATTTTTGGGACTATAACCCTTTTTTACCTACACTTTGAACCGTGCGTTTATGCAAAGGTGCAGCTTGTCTGTGGATTTTTCTTCAACCGCAAGAGTGCGGGAGTCAAAGTTGGAAATCAAAGCAAAAAAGCACTTATTCCAATTTAGTACAAGCACATGCGAGCAGCAGGCATGACAGAGAACAAATGTCCCAAACTGACACAATTTGAAAGTGGGAACAATGTGCAGAACTTCCTGCAGAACTAAAAAAAGAGCTGGCAAAGGCCCATCTTTCATAAAAAGCTTTTACTGCCGCAACCTACAGGTTTGGTGGGGGACAGTTCATTAAATGTCGGAAGCTTATAGCCCGATACTGCTTATACATGTACGTTTCCAGTTTTCTTTAAAAAATTTTTTTTTAAAAATGCTGTCAATGTGACTTATAATGAGGTGTGCTCTATAGTCCCAAACATATGGTAGATAAAAAGAATAAAATAAAAATAACAAGGAAAAATCCATATTTTATACAGCAGTTATTTGTGTGTATTTTACATACATGTACAACATGCTTTTTGAGAACAACATGGTGCAAATTCAATCCATCTATTGTTTTATGTACCTCAACAGCCAGGTTTTCATAAAACAATAATAGAAACTGAGAGCTGCTTGGTTGATATTTCCTGATGATCAGGTAACGCTCAAAATAAAATTGGGCATAATTGCCTTTGCTACTTAATAGTTATTCATACTCAAACCAAACATGTTATTTTACAACAATCAAGACTGACCCACTCAGAAGAAAATATAAATCTATCTCTATATACAATAATAACCTACGGCGATGGCAATAGCATTGGCGAATACCACAAAGGCAATATTAGTTGATGTATAGGACTGTTTTCATATTTTTCTCTCTTTTTTATCTGTGCTTCCACAACTTTGTGAGGATGAGCTTCTATAAGAGTTCAACAGATTAAATATTAAATTACCAGGAAAGAAAACACAAGTTCAGAATGTTTAAGTTAATCAACCTCTTTCAGACATGCACAGAAACAAACAAATATCAAATTAAACCAATATCCTTACTGCAATTTAGCTTTGATATTCCCATAAGCAGAATGGACGCCTACCTGCTTGTGGTGCATTATAGAGGGAAAAAGTGACGCAAGTCAGTTTTGGCAGGTCAATTTAGGTAGCGTATTCAGCCAGAGATCAGGTGGTCATGAGCACACACAAGGGACCTGAGCAAGCTCTCTGATGCATTGATATTTCCTGGTTTGTCCATGCTGCAATTAGTCAACAGAGCTTACTGGTGTCTGAGTTATAAAAAGCCTTTGCTGTTTTAAAAGATGTTCATCATAACCACAACTTAGTGACTGTAAACATCAACTTACGGTAAGAATACTGCAGGATTTAGACCTTGGAAAAAGCATTGACCAGCCAGTTCATCAGACAAATCCTGACTAAAGCAGAATTACTTTTGCTTTCATGAAAAGCCCTTACCTATTCTAGACTAATGCAGTTATTCAAAAGAGGGTTTGCAGATCCTTTGGTTTGCTGACTATATGTTACCGTTGTAAATTAATTAATATCCCAGCAAGCAACTTCCCAGCAAAAGCAACTGCCTGCTTCAGGTTTCTGATATAATTCTAACCTGCAGCTGTATGGGTTTCCTGTCAGATACAGATAGTAATGCTGAGCATGGCACATCACATTAAAGTGTGTCTTGCTATATAAAAAAAAAGCTTTTTTTCCCCCCACAGAGTATTTTGGATTACAATTTTCTGTGGTTTTAACAAATGACTTTCAAAGATTTAACATTGAGGGAAAAGAAATAAAAAAAAGGGATTTCAATGGCTGAACATGCAAAAACAATGAAGAACCAAAGCACTGCATAATGGGTGTTGCTGCTACAGAAAAAACAACATAACTTCCTTGTTTCATAACTAAATTTGTCCTCACCAGGGTTGGTGGATATGTAAAATAGTGCAACATGCACACGAGGGAAAGAGAGACTTAAATGTATTCAGTAGTGCCCCACCAATGTTATATAACAAAGTTTAGTTGCATGTGTCATCTCTTCTACATACACTGAAACTTTGGCACCAACTGCCACAACCTGCCATGCAGCTACTAATCAGATCTGGCCTCACCAGTTTTATTTTACTACAATGTTCTGATGTACATCTAGAAAAATGTAAGAGCTTCAGTGATGACTAAACATTAAGACATCAATTAAACAAATAAATAGTCAAACTAATAGCATTTAAGAAATCTGAAAAATATAAAAGACAGCTGCCTAAAATATATAAACAAATAAATAAAAAGCAATGCAACTCCCCACTTCAACACAAGCAGCCAGCCAGCAGGCTGCTACTGCAGTTTTTCAGCTGCCTGAGGCTCCTGGAATGCAAAGGGAGCCAAGGAGAGCAGCAGCACAGACATGTGTCCGGGAACAGAGAGCACTCATTGTGCCAAAGAAACAGCCAAGAGAAGGTTTCTACCCAATAGGACCCAAGCACTACTGCTGCTGGTAGAGCCTGCGTAGCCCTGTGGAGGGGGCCCAGAGGCAGAACTCTGCATGGCAGCAGAGAAAGGACCCTTTGTTATGAAGTATTATGTGCTGTTAAGGCCCAGGGCTACCCAGCATCCCCTCTACTGCTGCTATGAAGAGACAGAAACACACAGCCAGGTAAAAAAAAAAGGTGATAAAAAAAGGACCAAAAAAAAAACATTGTGTAGGAAATATAAGACAAATGAATAAAAGAATAAGAAAGTATCAAAAACTGAATGGTGCATGGAGGGCACCTCTTCCAGCAAGCCAGAAAATAATATTAAATATGGAGAAAATTTAAAATTTGTAAATTTTTGTAAATTTTCCCACAATCAATCTAACAAGTGTGAATGAAATTTTATTTGCTTGTCATTGTTATACCCTGACGTTACAATTTTATACTTGCAAACCAGGACAGAAAGATAACACAGCCACCCACTGTATATTAACATTCATAAGTCTAAAATAAAGTATAAAGAAGAAAAAAATCTTTTGACCTGAAACCGATTGTTGGTTAGCAAGAAGACTATGAAAAATCTTATCTCAAGATATGTGGCAAACGAACTGGATGAAGACCGACATTTACCTCACTATTGAGTACTTGTCAAATACACTCACCGGCCACTTTATTAGGTACCCCATGCTAGTAACGGGTTGGACCCCCTTTTGCCTTCAGAACTGCCTCAATTCTTCGTGACATAGATTCAACAAGGTGCTGGAAGCATTCCTCAGGGAGTTTGGTCCATATTGACATGATGGCATCACACAGTTGCCGCAGATTTGTCGGCTGCACATCCATGATGCGAATCTCCCGTTCCACCACATCCCAAAGATGCTCTATTGGATTGAGATCTGGTGACTGTGGAGGCCATTTGAGTACAGTGAACTCATTGTCATGTTCAAGAAACCAGTCTGAGATGATTCCAGCTTTATGACATGGCGCATTATCCTGCTGAAAGTAGCCATCAGAAGTTGGGTACATTGTGGTCATAAAGGGATGGACATGGTCAGCAACAATACTCAGGTAGGCTGTGGCGTTGCAACGATGCTCAATTGGTACCAAGGGGCCCAAAGAGTGCCAAGAAAATATTCCCCACACCATGACACCACCACCACCAGCCTGAACCGTTGATACAAGGCAGGATGGATCCATGCTTTCATCTTGTAGACGCCAAATTCTGACCCTACCATCCGAATGTCGCAGCAGAAATCGAGACTCATCAGACCAGGCAACGTTTTTCCAATCTTCTATTGTCCAATTTCGATGAGGTTGTGCAAATTGTAGCCTCAGTTTCCTGTTCTTAGCTGAAAGGAGTGGCACCCGGTATGGTCTTCTGCTGCTGTAGCCCATCTGCCTCAAAGTTCGACGTACTGTGCGTTCAGAGATGCTCTTCTGCCCACCTTGGTTGTAACGGGTGGTTATTTGAGTCACTGTTGCCCTTCTATCAGCTCGGACCAGTCTGGCCATTCTCCTCTGACCTCTGGCATCAACAAGGCATTTCCGCCCACAGAACTGCCGCTCACTGGATGCTTTTTCTTTTTCGGACCATTCTCTGTAAACCCTAGAGATGGTTGTGCGTGAAAATCCCAGTAGATCAGCAGTTTCTGAAATACTCAGACCAGCCCCTCTGGCACCAACAATCATGCCACGTTCAAAGTCACTCAGATCACCTTTCTTCCCCATACTGATGCTTGGTTTGAACTGCAGGAGATTGTCTTGACCATGTCTACATGCCTAAATGCACTGAGTTGCCGCCATGTGATTGGCTGCTTAGAAATTAAGTGTTAAGAGCAGTTGGACAGGTGTTACTAATGAAGTGGCCGGTGAGTGTATATCATCTCATATACTTATTACAATATTAGTCTATTAGTTCAATTAACGTAAAACACCACAGTGACATGCTTTATCTGATCAAACTATATATTTTTTAAGAACTTACTTTACAACCAAACTCTATGAGATTGGTTTGGTTGAGTTATATGAAAGATTATGTACAGTAAGAAAGCTTGAAATGAGCCCACAAACAAAATACACCCTCCTCAATATCGCAGATGTTTATTGAGATAACCGTACCACATTTCCTTCTGTAAACCATAAGTAGACTGCAGATTACCCTGAAGTATTGTTTTCACCATGGTTCAAAACTTTTTTCAAATCTTTTAGAACATTTTTTGTAATCACTTAAAAGATATCTGCCAACATCATTCGTTATTTTTCTAGCTATCAGCCAAAATTTTCTTTAAGAATTAAAGCAACTCACTTTAAGCATAGTAATGCATGTTGGGGTGAGTTTTGTTTATTCAAGTTGCAAAACATCAATGAAAGATAAGATCCAAACACACTTTTATCCCTTTGTGCGCAGTCTGAATTAAAGCACTCCATCAAATATGTAAAAAATAAATAAATAAAAATTACCAAGAAAGGATTTTTTTTTTTTGACAAAGTCTTGATAAAAGAGAAGGGGAGTGGTGGCCTAGTGGTTAGGGCATTGCGCTTAGAAACCAGAGGTTTCAAGTTTGAGCAATCTAATGACAATAAAAGCTGGAGAAGAGAGAAGAAAAGAGAACTCAAGGAAAGTTTGTGAAAAAGACCAGATCAGGAGTCAAAAGTTGCTAATAGAGATAGATCAATACATCACCTGGCAGATATTTTTGGCCAATGTTATTTTTGTATCGGCATCGACCAATACCTGCATGAGTTAATAAATTCATAAGCATTAATCAGGCATGCTTCAAAATAGGTCTACCACTCCCCTCATTTGCTATCCATTGTTTTTATGTGTGTATTAGAGATGTCCCGATCCAGGTTTTTGCACTTCCGATCCGATACCGATATTGTTTTTGGACTTCCAATCCGATACCGATACTGGCCGATACCAGCCTATCCGAGCATGTATTTAAGTTTAAGTTAAAGTATTTAGCCTTAGTTGTAAGACTCATGTTGAAAAGGGTTTTAGTACTCTTGATAACATCTAGCCAGCTAAATTAGGTGAGATTGAATAAAACACAATGATTGGTAACAACAAACTTACCTGTTTATTAAGAGATAAACACAAACTGGACAAAATTATGAATAGCAATCTGAAATTGCACAGTGAACAGTTAAACCATAAACAGTTAAAGGTGCAAGTATTACTGTAAGTTTTAATAAAAATGCAAAACAGGGAAACACTGGCGCAAAATAGTGGAATGGATCGTTTCAATCGGCGAAACTGGAAAATACGGACCAGATTTTTTTTTTTAAACTGGATCGGCAGTCTGGATGTGCATTTTACATGCTTTGCCGATACGCATTTTTTTGCCAATATCGGCGTCCCGGTCCGATACGTGGATCGGATCGGGACAAGCCTAGTGTGTATTAATCTTTTTTTTGTTTGATACCTGTGTAACATTAGCTATAATTGTGTGATTTGTTTTGTCATATAAATGGAGGAAGAAAAGCAATAGCAGCTTAAAGAATGGGAAATAAAAAGAGAAAAAGAATAAGTGATTGGTCAAACATATCTGTGGTCTGTTGGACTTAGTTTAAAATAAATTAATTATAATCTATGTACAAAAACTGCTGTGTTACCCATCTGCCATGATGTTTACCAGTGCTGATAAGCTCCCTTCCTGTGTAAGTTGCGATATTAATAACTTATACACACAAATACAGAAATAGAAGTATTTTTTTTAAGTTTAGTTCATCTTTAGAAAATATTGTGTGTTTGAAACATTTTATCATCAATGTTTTCACTGTCAGTGTAAGTAAAAAAAAAAACAAATACACTTGACAGTATCTTTAAATCAACTTTGCATCTGTTTTACAACACTGTCCTCCACACCCAAGCCCTCTACAGAGCACAACAAACTTCTACTGTTAGAGAAACACTTGACCAGCTTTGTGCTCAAACAGTAAACACCTCACATTTGCACTTCCCTGGTCTTCCTTTGCACTATCAACTGCCATATCTCAACAAACCCCAACAGGAAGCAGGTCAAACTAAACTGGAACAAAGGCCAGTGAGTGGGAACGGACACATCTGGGGGATGAGTTATAAACGAGCCACCAGAGCTCAGGAACAAACCCTCGCAGCAGCATCAAACGTGATTAAAGCAGAGTCACACGCTTGGACACGTGTAACTGTACAGCGAGGTATTTAAACAAAGAGTGCAGTGGGCTGCCAACATAACAAACACAGAAACACACACAAGTTAAGTTAAGAATAAATCCGTCAAACCCAAATTAATCAACAAGACACCCACAGCTAGGAGTTCAGATCTAACTCAGCATAGATAAAGTCGGCGCACCTTCAGACTTCCTCCTACCTTTTATTGTTCATGTGACCAACAATAAATCAACCCTCACAGCTGTTAGATCATACCTTCAAGCCACCTTTAATAATGTTTTTTTTACATTACATTCCCTCTCATGATTAAAGCGTAAAAGGGACAAGTTAACGGGAAAATAAACGCAGTATGTCTTCATTGAAACGTTTTTAACGTCTAAAGAAGAACGCGGCTAGCTTAGTTTTAGCAACAATAAAGCCCCTGACAACTCCATATTCTAACTGACAGAGGAGTAACTGTTGGGATATTTTGGCCTGGTTTGTTGTTTCGAACTAATTCAGGTAAACAAAGACGGAATTGTAGACTAGTTTAAGTCTCCTAGTGGCCTGTGTGTGCTTAGCTTGCGAAAAAAAAAGACAAAAAAAAAAGACTCACCAACGTAAAGGTTAACAGCGGTTAGCCCTCCTCTCCCCCAGTTCACATTCGAGACATTAAAAGCAGTTTTAAAGACGACTCCCGCTCACTAAGTATGAAAAATAAAGGTAGAATGGAGGTTTTTAGCCGTCGAGGTCCCGTCTCCCTGCTCCGTCACTCCTTGTCCTCTTCTACTCGCCAGCTCTTTATTTTAGGTGAGCGGAAACACACACTGGCGGCTGTGAGAACTCCACAGGGCTGCCTGCCCTTGCTCTCGAGCGGTCTCCATGGATACCTCTGTAGTGGGCGGTCCTACAGCGCGTCGTGGCGCTTCAAAATAAAAGCTCAAGGGTGAGATTTTGAGACAAAGGAACAAAACACTCCACGAAATGGAATTAGGAACAAACAAAGAAATGCAGCTAATCTCTTTAAATACGAACGATTATTTGGGGGAAAGAACCGTGATATAAAATCAAAAGCTTAAACTCAAACGTACCCCTTTTAATAAGCAATTATAAGAGAATAAAATTAAAGGGTTTAAAAAAATCCAAATGAAGTTAAAAAGAGGATACATTATGCTGAAACAGATCAACTTTTCTATTGAAAAATTCCAATTAAACACTAAGGTAAAGAAACATCTGTTTAGATGTCAGGGAACCAGTTCTAAAGATTCCCATAAGCCTCAACACAAGAAACACAAGCAACTGTTGTTAGGATACTTTAGGAGACTAACATTTTACGACAGCTGATAAAGATAGGTAAAACCTTCTGATAAAGATCAGGTAAAAGCCAATTACAGCTTTGTTTTGACCCCACAGTGAATGATCTATGTCCTTCCAATCCTTTTTTTTTAAATGCTGTTTCAAGCTCAAAAGGGCATGCTGTCATCCACAGGACTCCACTTGATTAATTAACTCCAAACAAAGTTAAGCCACAAAATCCAAAAGAGAAATGTATAAAGAAATGTATACAGAAGGTTTATCTGCAATAAAATGTAGGATATCATATAAAGAATAAAATAAAAGTAGCTTTAACAATAGTGCAATAAAGGGTCCACAATTAAGCATAAGCAATTGTTTTTTATTCACTCAGATATATTCAATTCGATTCATTTAGTTATATAGCACCAATTCCCAACACATTTCATATCAAGGCACTTTACAGAGACAATACTCTCAGATTGGTTAGGAAAACTAGTTGAATGCATCAAGTCATGAATTGCAAGACATGCTCTTTTTGGATGAGCCTGTGGCAATGACCTTCGCTTGCATTTTTTCATTGACTTGTCAGCAATCCCTCACACCAGGCATGCATACAGCGGCAGTGGAGAGGAAAATTAACTTTTAACAGGAAGAAACCTCCAGCAGAACTAGGCTTACTTTGAGCACCCAACTGCCGAGGCCGACTGTGGTTAAAGGAGACAGAAGCAGACATACAAATGAAACACAGATACAAAAGATAAATGTTACCTAGCTCTACAGGGACCCCGTTTGGGTAAGGGCTGTAAGTTTAAATGTTTGATTCTAAATATATATTTCCTTGATTCATTATTATTAATTTTGCATTGCTTTGTCACACTCCCTATCACCCTTTTAGTATTTTTGTAAATTTCTGTTCTTTGTCAAAGTACTGTTTTATAGCCCATAAATAAGTTGTCACTGAGTAAGAAGATTTAAGTCCAGATTCACACTGTGACTTGATAGGTTCTATAAACATCCTCTTATGAAACAAGAAGTTCTACTCTGTGAAACATGGAGTTAAGGTGAATTCTTTGCCTCTTAAAATGGAACTAATTTTGATATAATGACATAACTGATAATTGATTAGATCACAATATTGGGTGAATTATATCTTACCCTGTCTTGGTCACATCTAACAGGCTTAGCAAGAAATGTTGGCTGTCATTCACCAATGAAGTTAGTAAAACGCGGAATGGAAAGGTTTTGCGTGTGTCTATGCCGACATCTAGTGGTCATGTTAGGATGTTGTATGTATAATGCTGACTAACTTATTCTCTAATGAAGAGGAATTTCTTAAAATTCTAAAAAGGCTCCTCCAGATCTATATTGTAGATGGCATACTAAGGCTAAGTGAAGTATGTCATATAGCTTTAACAATCTATGTAACCAATTTATCTCTCACTGTTATCATATTGGCGCCTGTGTGAAAGGTGAATATAGGCTCAAAGGGAGTGTTTAAAAATCTTTTATTTAGCTTTTTTTCAGGTATAGATCATTATACAGCAGCAGAAAGTGAATATTTAAACTTTTCTCATATTTTTGTAAATTTAGTTTACATACTTAAAGTGATTTTACATGCTTTGTTCATAAATGATTGTTTCAGTACAGTTTCTAAGAGAGTCTTACACTTTGATTCTTGTGCAAATTATGATGATATATTTCACTCACAAGGCAATAAAAGGAGCATGTAAACGGATATCATGGAATTCTAAAAATCTTTTCTTGGCAAAAAAAAGAAAAAAAAACTCTTTGAAGTTTAGTTTATTTATAGCTTGGCAATTCATAGTTAATCCTGGGCACATTTCATGACAATGAGCTCCAGTTATATCCTAGTTCATTTTATCCAGTCAGGTCTAGACCCTGTCAAAAACAAACAAATTAGGCCTAAATCAAAATTACAAATAAAATTGAAATTTAAAGAATAATTCAATACTAACTGGTAAATGTTATTAATAAAATAAAGCAAAACTATTCTTGTTATTTTGTTGACTTTACTGCAATCCATCACGCTGAGCAGGTACATAACTAATGAAACCAGCAGGGGTAAAGAGAAAAGGACAGCAACTGAAGAGATAATCATCCAGCTATCTGTATGGCAACACAGTTATCAGCATGTGCATTTTGCAGCAAGAGTGTCCTGGGTTTGACCACTGATCCCTATTTATTCACTGGATTGCTGATAGGCCGAAAAAACTGAAGTTACCTGGTGCCATCTTGGTACTCCCCACTCTCACGGAGTCACGCCATAAATGTCTGTAATGTCATGTAATTACCATAACTATGTAATCAGAACATGTATACTACATATACATAATCAATTCAGCACTTTTGACACATCATCATGTAGTGTGTGTGTGTGTGTGTGTGTGTGGGGATGTGTGTGCGTGTGTGTGTAATATTCTTACTATCTGACTACATCATTATTATGCTCAATTAACACACTTATTTTGTTGAGATGGATTTGTACAATATGTTATATTACATAATTTATAGGCTTCATGGACTTCATACTGAATATGCAATGTGATATGCCTTTTTTTTTTAACCATAAATTACAGTAATCTACTGAGGCTTTGAAACAGCAAGTCTGTGTCAAAGCATTACATGTATTTACTAAATTAGTAAGTTTATTAATTTATGAATAATTTATTTATAAATTTATTATTTTGAAAGTCTTAGGTCCCCCTGAAAGTGAGAACAACATAGTTTTTCGATGCTGTAGCAAAATAATTGTTTACATTCTAAACGATCTAACTAAGCGGTTTGTGACTTCACAGCACTGTGTACTACCAACGGCCTATCAGCAATTCAGTAAATAAATAGAGATCAATGGGTTTAACTCCTGTCCTGAGGTCTTTTACTGGGTAGTGGCAGCCTAGTGGTTAGGGCATAGAGCTTGCAGTCCTGAGGGTCTGAGTTTAAGCCCCACTCCCACAGAATGCCACTCTGGGTCTCTGAGCAAGACCGTGAACCCCACACTGCTTCAATCAATAAAGTTCAATTATTATTTTTTATATGCAATTCATATGTTCTCCAACTGCATGTGTTGGTTCTCATTGGGTACCGGCTTCCTAACCTGAATAAGCCAGCTTGATACTACATAGTTCAGTTTGAACTCTACACAGTATCAATCTGGTAAGGCACTGAGGGAAGTTGTTCGAAAAAGGGAGAAGGAACATTTATTACAATCCTTCGCTGATTGGGTAATCAACTTAGGTGCACATGTTGAGCCGCGGCAGCAGTAACAGCTGCAACATTATCACATTCTTGATTAGTTTCACAAGTATCAGAGTTAACTGATAAATCAAACTCTTAACAAATACGGTCAGAAGGAACACAAAAACATCTTTCCCATCCACAAAGGCCTGTCCTGTCTTTTTCTCCTTAAATCCTGTCTTTTTCTCCTTAAAATAAAAAGAAATTGAGAATATTTCAGCTAAAACCAGCCCAGCTTCAGCGTTCTGCCTTTGGTTGACGCAATGGTCCGAAGAATTTCTGTATCGAGGCTAAGGCATCTGTTGGCTTTTGGCAAGATATATGGGAGTTTGTGAATTCACAAAACTCACAACAATTCATCTTGCTTGCAAGGTTAGTGGCTTAATCCTGTAGTTCAAAATATGCATGTGAAGTTAACTGGTCTCTCTAAACTGTCCTGAGGATTGAGCATGTGTGTGTGCGACACAGTATGGGTATGGGCAATGGATGGACAATGCGCTTTGCATGGTTAAAATAACAAAGACATGACACTGAAAAAATGAAAAGACTCTATTTTAAAGGTTCTCTTTATTACAAAGGAGTACTTTCTATGGAACGCGAATAGACTGAATCTTTGGGAACTTGAAAGTAGAAGGTGGCCAAAAAACACATTTAACACTGTTATAGCAACACTGTAGATTGTCACAAATATAACATTCTGCAGGAATTTTTATTTACGAGGTCCCCCTATATTCATAAATTCCAACATAGATTTTTAAACAAAATCAAAAAGCACTGCCCCATTCCAAAAAAAAAAGAGGAAAAAAAATTACCCTTCCAATCAAAATGGCTTGGTGAAACTTCCAAATATGCTTTTTATTAAATTAAAAGGTCTAACATTTCGTCCATCCATCAGGGAGGTCTCCAGATATGTGTCCAAATATGACATTCACTTTCCTGTTTATTGCTTTGCAGATTCAGATATTGCACACAATTTAAGAGAAGAGAGATTCAAATAAGTGACTTAATACAAACCAAATGGCAGTCTCACAAGTGAGCTTCAAAATTCTCCCCTGCCTCTGCTGCCTTTTTGATTAGATGTTGCAGATCAAAGTTGAAGGTCTTTGATGACAGAGGGGTTGCTTTCAAAGCTTCGGCCCTTCATAAAGCAGACAAACGTGGCCAGGTGGATCTCCTTAGTTCAGGTCCATTGGGTGGAAGTTACACAGGCATGGAGCCCACGGGTTTGTTCTTGGCTATGGGGCCAGATACTCTGCACAGTAAATTCCTGAAGAAGGACGTCCCAAAGGCTGGTTTATAAGTCCAATG